ATTTAATAGCACATTCATTATAAGGACGCAACCGAAATTGTTGACTGTACAGTGAAAAACTGTACAGTCAACCATACTCTACTTGCACACTGCAAGTCTTGCAAACAAGCAGCAGTGAAAATTTTTAAAAGCTGGTAACAAGAAATGTGTAGCACCCGAGCTCCACCTACAGGATGAAAACAAATGTAAAACCAATATTTTTAACTACCAAACTAGAAGAGGACTGTTTACTCCAAAGCCTTCAGATGATCATCTCAAGCCACTGCCATTTTACAAACTTGAAATAATGCTGCTAAATTTGATTAGTATTGCAGTGAAGGCAAACACTTATTCTATCTGTATACATTCCTGCATGTAAACAGCTGTCCTATACTTTGAAGTTTAGATTTAAGCTTTCTAGTAAAAAACCAACAGATCTGTGGAATTTCTCTAACAACTTGCCATAATGAGTGGGAAATTCCCGAGGTTTCCTATCAAATACAAAATTGGAAAGTGTATCAAATTATTTTTTAAAAAATACACAAATGCTTCAAATGCATACTAAAATGACTAAAATTAACTTCACCGTTTGAGCACTCCAACTATGATTGCATTTAGAAGTGGTATTGGATCTCAGTTCCATGAATTTGAGAAGGTGTCTATTGTTTCCATATTGTTTCTCCGAAACAGATGTGCTAACTTGTGGCTTCACAAATGGATATGTATTAAAAGAAACAGGACTGATACATATGAATACAGATTTGTAGAAAAAGTCATGCAATAGACAGTACTCTGAAAAAATATTTTTTGAAGTTCAATTATTCTATTAGCACATTTAAATATCTGATGAGATGAACAATGTTGATAGATATCTGATGTTTCTTGGCCCTCTGATATGTTACTAGACATTACCCTTCAAGCTATGTATGGTGGATCCAACTCTTTGTTTGATATTTGCACCTCCCACATCTCTGCCTGCTCTGATCAACACACACTTGGACGACAGTGGGTGATGAAGTACCATGAGAATATTATCAGTCGTCTCCAGTATGCTTACAAAAAAGTAAGTACCATGAGAATATTATCAGTCGTCTCCAGTATGCTTACTATTTCAGACAATGAAACTTGATCATGTTTATCTTACTTTATCTCATCAGACCTTAAAGTTATTAACACGTCATTTATAACAAACAATACCATGACTTTGATTTTCATGCCAGAGGACGCCAGGCAATTACTCGGAAAACAGTAAGTCTAGAAGTTGATGTTACCTGTGGTGCTAAGCCGTGTCTCCCACGGCTATGGCTCCCAACTGCCAAAAACACATCCAATAAAACCCTCTTCTGAGTTAAGATAACCCATTTGGCTATACTACTACTGCTACTGCCCTGAAAGAGCAGAATAACCACAAACACAGCATGTTGACCGTTCACATACAGACCCAGGAGGTTACAGAATGACTACACAGATGTCTCTGAAAATGTGATGTCACACAAGCTTGGCCATAGAGTATCTCATTCCTAAGGGTATGCTCCAGCTTTGTGTTCCCTTCATGCTACAAACTTGCTATTATACCTCAGGCAAATTTGTTTCTAGCAGCCATCCCTGTAAATCCCAACAGACAGTTAAAGGGATTGGTGGACGGGTTGTTGGACAGATAGGTAGGTAGTAAGTATGTATAGAGTCTAACGTGTTTTGCTGTTCTAAAGATGTTATTTGGCTGCCATGTACTTAAAGGTACTTTTACAGAAAAAGCTTTTCTTGGAGAATTTGTAAATTTCTGAATCCTCGCCTCCACTATTCAATATGGCTGTCTAATACTAATCTGTATTTGTCCAATTCCAATGATTAAGAACAGTTCATTGACTATGAGAAGCTTATTCTGTATTGGGGAATATTATGGGTAATATCACAAACATTATTAGGGCGCAGGATTAATCAATCACTGAAGGCAGAGTACTGAAAACCAGGAATTACTTCTTTCTGCAGTCAGGAAACTGCTTCAGCACAATGTTCCTGCAACACGAGCCAGAAAACTGCCTCATGTACTTCTTGTCCCACATACTGACATATAACCATTTTAATCGACACAAGATAAATATTCATGTAATTTACCAGAGATTATGCGTTGATCTCAACTGCAGGACTAGTAACCAGATTTTGGGATCCAAGTTATCCATCATCTTCCCTGATCTCAGTATACTTCCTGTGGACCAGCTGTCTAGAGCACAGATAGTACTACCACCAATTTCCAAAGCAGCCTCACAGCACAACTTCAAAGATGGCAGAAAGGAAAAACAGGAGACAGGTTTTTAGAAGATGTCTTGTATATGTCCTTTGAAAAAATACCTAGTGATATCTAGCACAGCCATGAAAACATGGCACTAAATTTCATGTCCTGTGACGTAGGTGCTCTTATAGAGAGAAAAGAAGAATGAAAACCAGAAAGACAATGCTCACGAAATGGAGTTTTATGCTGGTGTACGTAACATTATATGGTTCTACAAAGAGATCAGATGCATGTATGGCTCCAAAAGATATGGATTAACATCAGTTTACAGATCTGACCACATAAATCTTGTTGACCGCATTAAGTTTGCCAAAGCATGAAAGTTAATTGCCTTGCCTTTGAAGTAAAATCATATGACATAAAAAACCCTAATGCCCATTTAAATTACAGATTTTGTTTACTATATCCTTTTATGTTATTGAGCTGGACATTTTATGTAAAATGCTCTTGCCTATTTGTCTCCGGCTATCGAGTTTACGGGGTCTTCTCTGCAGCAAACATAAAATTACAAGGAACTTTGGAAGTAACATCATCTAGGCCTGAAAAAGAACTGACTGGAGGCTACACAGATTTGCTCAAATTACAAAGGCTTCTGTATTGTAGCTGGTGTGCTTCTCAGATTTAAATCATTAATGGAGAAGATGTAGAAGAGGACACTAAATTTCCTGCTTAAATCCCATGGATATTTTATTTTCTGGAACTATTCGAACTTATTAAAGTGGTTAATAAAATTATTTTCTTGGCAATGTTCTCATTGGGCTTTTCACTGCTCCAAAAAAGGCAGACAATCAGCAACACTTACAGTTGGTATATTTTAATATACCAATATTAAAAGATCATCCAAAATAACAGAAGTGTTCTTACCACTCTTAAGAACATAGCCTGCTTCTAAACATATAGGCCACACAGAGTTAAAAATACTTCCTCACGTGGAATGCTTAAAACTTACTAATCTTGCTTTTAAAGTCATATTAATTTATTGCAGTAAAAATAATCAGATTGATATGCATCAAGTTGCAAATGTCAGGGTGTGATTTCCCTTTTCTCTTAATAATTAGTTGTTTTACAATTAAGATAATGATTGAATGTCCACCATAACTGACAACAGCCCCCTTCTTCAGTAAGATAAAGTTTTTTTTATTTTTAGCAGGTATATATAAAACCAGAATAACCTGCAAGGGTTGCAATTCAGATACGTGAATTTCTGATGACTGTAAAACAACAACTAGTTTTGTTTCTGTTATTCTTTCTGTTTTCCAACAAAAAGCTTCAATATGTATTTTATCTCAAAGTGTATTTTTATTACAAATTGATCTTCATGTGTCTTGACCCAAAGCCAGGGATGGTAATTGCTATGGAACTTTTGAAGCATTTATACTGAAGCATTTATATTGAAGCATTTATACCTTATATCTTTTGTCACAAATAGACTGTTCTGGATTCTTCTATGTTGACAATATGCCTTGGCCATTACATATAAAACCATATCTGCAGTGGGTGTAAAGAGAAGAAGAAAAAAAAAAAAGGAAAAAAATAAAAAGAAAAGAGGAGGAATGGTTCAGTTCAGAAGAAACTGTTATGGGAGAGCCACGACATACGGCAAATTTAGTATAGGTAATTTCACAGTCTGAATTTCATCAGACTGTTATTTATGACAACTGTGCAGAGTTAGGGAACAGAATCTAAATTATCTTTATTGTGCTTCCTCCTCCTACCTCCCAGTAAGTTTCACTGAGTAAGTAAATTTACACATTGAACTTTGTAACTGCAATTAATTGTTCAGTAACTTCTGGAGCCCACTTTTATTGAAATACTGGACAATAATTCCTAGTAAGTTTGTCATCAGGTCCACTATGCATCACTTGCATACATGACGAATGTTTTTATGCAGTATAAATATTATTAGGCAAAAATTTCCAAACTAGCTGTGAAAGAAAGACTGCCAAGACACAAGGTTCCAAGAAAACAAGTTAACTCACTGAAAATTGAGTGCTAATCAGTACAGATGTTCATGAAGGCTGGCACAGCCATATTACATGACTGGAACCCACGCTTTTATGTCTGTAAAGAGCTGAATATTGCTACAGAAACATAATAATTTGTCTAGAGCTAGTTTAATGATTTGAATATAGTCTTAAACTACTAAACACAGACATATTCCAACCCTGTAAGAACAACCCTAGATAGTATTTAAAAACTGATGTGTCAATTGCAGTCTAAAAACTGAAAAATTAAAAAACTGGTACACTGTAAGAATGACTACTGTGTTAAATAGATGTTAATGGATGACTAGGAAGCCTTTACTTTCTGTAAGTCTCCATGGTGGATGACCACCATGTGTTATCACAGATAAAGAAGCTACAAAACTCAGTTGTACAACTATGTAGAAAGACACAGTAAAGCATGACAAATACATATAAATACTCTTCATTTATAACTCACAGAGAAAAACAAAACTCCCATACAAGGTATCAATAAGTGCTCAGTGTCACAAAATGTAACTTAACTCTTTGGCTCAAACTTCCAAATGAAACCAAGAAATGAGAAAGCAATAGGCAAGTTCATCTTCCACAGCTGGAGGCAGGCAGGGGGAGTAATTTTAATGTAATACAAACCTATCAATGTAGTAACTGCAAAACTGGAATTGAGCAGAAAATCTAATTGTAAACAAGCTGAAGGACAAAAACCAACCAATCAAACAAACAAAAACCCAATCCAGTGTGATACTTACCTGCGACTAGTTGTTTTCTTTTCTGTCTTAGTTTCTTCCTCTTGAAGTTGCTGTTTAGCATTTTCACTTGTATCAATTTTCAACTTCTTGGCAATGCGTTCTTTTATTTGAAATCTCTCATTGCTAGCAGCTTCACCTTCTACACTATCAGCATCTTCATCATGCTCTTCTTCCTCCTTTATTATTTATTTCAAATAATAAAACTTCTTTAGCTTTTTTGTTTTACTACAGAATGTTGAATTTATAAAGTTTTTTATTACAAAGGTAATCCCTTAGCAAAAAAGAGAAAAAACTTAATTTCACAACAAACTTTTCAAACAAATATCTCCTTATTTGCTTCAGAAGGAACAAAAAATTAGAAATATGATAATTAAATATTTTTTCACACAAAAATTAGGTTTTCTGTATGGCTTAAAAAACTAAACCAGTCTATTCTAGACTGCAAACCTTTATAGGTCTGCAGAAGACCTCATAACAATGTGGTATTAGTCTGGTCATTGTTCATGAATCCAAAATTTCATCAAGGCAACCCATTAAACATTTCCTTCATTTTCCACTAAAAAAGCCATAAAACTTATTAAGAACTTCCTGCCACAGGGCTATGCTACAGTCATGATGGGATGGAAGAGGTTTGCCCATTAGTCTCTGTAAGGGCATTTACAAATACCACAGTGATCAAAAGAGGCTGTGAAAACCTGTGGAATCAATCATCCTGACTTGCCACAGAGGTACTGTATTTCCAGGCCTAGCAGAGGAAGGCAAAAGGGGATAATCCACCTTAGTTCAAAGATATTTTGAGGGAGAAATATGTTATTCCTTTCAGTAATTAAGAAGCCTGACTAGACCAAGGGATCTAAGTTTGACTACTTTCTTCCTTGAAGAAGGAAGCCTGCATGAATCTCAATGGAAGGATGCCAGCTCAAAGACTAGATGGTACATCTTTGTATATTTATTTTGGAGTGATGCTTATTAGCTGAAAAAAAAAGCATAAGATGCTACGTGATTATAACTTTAACTACACAAAGAGACAGGACAGACTTAGAAATGGTATTCCAAAGGACTGTACTGTATCCAGGAGACCGCCAGGATGTCAGCACTTGGAGAGGAACACTGAAGACAATGTACATGTCCCGAGTGTGACTGACAGGTAGGAGGAAGAGTAGCATGAAGACCACGTCCATAAACATGGAAAGGAAGAGGGGAGAAAAATAAAAGCAGCAAGAGGCACAATTTTGGGAATAGAAGAGAAAAATCAAGAACTAGATTTCAGATGTTGTATGTGAGTCATTATTTAGGAATCTTCAGACCACCATGCTTAGATTTTAGATCTAGATGAGACCAGTCAGGAATAAAAAACCGAAATCTGTGAATATTCAGCACAGTAAAATAGCTGAATATTTTGTAAATGAAATAACTGAAAGGTGGTTGTGGGGGTGTTGTCTGTTTGATTTAGATAGGAGAAAGAGAAAAATGGAACAGGATCAGAATTTCACTTAATTTCCCAGGAAGTTATCCATCCATGATAGAGGAGATAATGAAACTTCCTGAAGGATTTGCTAACTTGATAAATTGTTGGGGAGATGGCATGACAACAGACCTCAATGGCAGGGAGCAGAATCCAGAAAAGGAATGCGACAGGACTGTGTTAAAGGTATTTAACAGTCAAGGATAAAGACAGACTCCTGGGGGAGATTTGGCTAGCGGTTAGGTAAGAGCATTTCACTGAAACACAGAGTTGGACAGCAGAATTTCTAGAATAAAAATGGACAACCCTAGACAAATTGCAATTGGTAACTAGTAAGCTAATTAAAAATTGCAGAAATCTGAGTAACAGGAGGTGATGTTCTATGGATGGTATTTTGAAATGGGAGAGAGAAAATGGTTCAACCTGTCCAACTCAGCTGAATCCCCTACTTCCCAAACCTTCCATTGCCCTCACTCTACACAGGATTTCACCAGTTTTCTTCTAGGAAAACACTGACAAAATTGTATTGAGAGATTTTGTGTCAGAATGACTAACGGCTACTGAATGTAATATGATTTAGCCATTACTGAATTAGGGGGTGGATATCAAACTTTATCCATAGTACTACACGAAACTTACTGTTCAGTACCTATCTGACAAATAGGGAGAGGAAAACAAGTTGTGCAGAAATAGGAAACAGAGGAATGTCACTGGTGCAGAAAAAATTTGTGTCTTGTGAACACATTTCATATGATGTTCTCATTAATGACTTAGGCACAAAAAAAGGTTTAACAAATAGCGATGAGGTACTGTTAATACAAAGGATCCGACTCTCAGAGCATGAAATATATGACCTTGAGGACTGCAGTAAGAGAAACAGGATGATATTTAATAGCATGAACAACAAGGTCAAGCACTTAGGGAATAATAACAAGAGTTTCTCTTACATGCCAAGGACTTGTTATTTGGGGGAGGTAGGGAGATCTGGAAGAATTATTTGGTCATAGGATGGCTATAAAACTACCAACGTGTTGCAGCCATGTAAATGTGAAAGCGATCCTGTGATGTGTTAACTGAAATAAATCCAAGAGAGATGATAAAATACTAGTACCACTTTACAAGGCTCAGGTAACTGTCTTAGATTCTAGCTAAGATCTTTCAATGAAATGAAATCTAAGTAGAGCACCTGCACTAGAGAAAAAAAAAACCTTCCTATTTCCTACTTCATGACATTGTTCCAACGGCATTCAGATTAATTAGGCTGAAAAAAATTAATTATTTAAATATATCTAACATGTCTCTGTTTTATATTCCCAAATGCAGTTCACTTAACAACGGGCTATTTGAACACATGAAGAATTATTAATTAAATACCCATCTCAGAATCCTTCTAACACTTAAAAGCTCCTGCACAGCAGAAATTACAAAGGAGAAGAGTCCAAGAACCTGAACTTATACTATGTTTTGTAGAAGAAAAACCAGGAAACAAGGTAGAAGCAGACTGGTTTTTTTTAAGCACAAGAACAGGATAGATTGTGTCCTTCCTTCACTTCCACAGTGCAGTACCCGTGCATGGTGGATAGAAATGGAAAACAGTACTTTTCAGGATTCAGTCTGGGGAATGGGAGATTACATTCAAATATTACATCCTTGTCTCAACAGCAACTCAAAGGGGTACCCCCATGACCTATGGCTGAAGGCAAAGACATACTTCATCTAGCAACCTTAATCTGCACCATGTATGACAATCTCCTTGTAATTAAAATAGCCTACATGTTTGGTTGAGTTTTACAGCTTGGTTATTCAGATTTCCTGTCTTTCAGAGGTGACAGTCTTGATCAATACAATTTAAGTGATAAACAGTCACTGAAGTTTTGTTTTCTTAAAGAAATCTTTCCAACAGTACTCTTACACGCAGATTTCACCTCAGACATTGGAGTTATACTGTTATTCATGACAAACTTAATTTTTTCTTTTTAAGAAGCAATTTCAGGGCTTTTATTAATGGTTTGTCACTCAGCGGAACATAACCCCTCATATACCTAATCTACTGACCAAAATATCTGGTAAGCAGTTTTTATAAAATGCAGTAGGTAGTATGCAGTAGTAACTCTACCCTGCTGTGAATGTTCACAATGGCCAAACCTTACAACTCTGAAAGGGGCTCCAGCCTGTTGCTGGAAATCTGACTTGAGCTATTTTTCAAGAATCTCTAAAGTACCATTTGTTTCCCCAGGAAAATCTAATTCACACAGAGTAAAAAGCAAAGACTTATTTGTAAAAAAATGTTACTTACCTCACTCAAGTCCCTTTCTTCACTTGCTGATTCACTAAAAGAAGAAAAAGAATCATAAGTACTTTGAAGTACCAGATGAAACTTAAAATACTGCTTAAAAAAGCCCAGTTCTTACAAAATTTTTTTTTGTTAGCTACTTGAAATTTTAGTCAACTTAGTCATTTATATCATCCTCACATTCATCTCAAAAGTATCAATTATCAGTCTTTTCTATCATTTGACTTTCTAATTAGAATAGTTTAAAAAACACAAGATAAAACCACCAACTTTCATACAATGGAAAAATTCTAATCATATCTTGAGCTATCCAGACAAAACACTGATGTATACAGTTAAAAGGAAAAAAAACACAAAACAACCTCACTTAAGATGGACTTTTTTTCTCTCATATCAATTTCTAGCATTTCATTGCAAATTAAAGCCTTAGAAAGCCTTCTTTACATAGGCGTGTTCGACATGCACTGTACTGATAAGTAAGCCTAACATCAAAAGTTCATTTGTTGTAGAGATACAGCGTAGTATCTATTGAATACACTAAGGGTAACATATCTACTGTTAACTGTCACAAACTAATAATAAAGACCCTTGAAGATTTTTCCATCCCACAATTTTAAAAAAAAAGTTACGTTACAGAAACAAAGCAAGGAATATTAAAGAAACTCCAAAAGTCAAAGCTTTGAGGTGCACTCTAAGCCATCAATAAGTAATCAAGGTAATCATAGAAACTGTAAATCTGTTGGAATCAAAGACATTAATTTAATTTAAAAAATTAAAACTCTCTGTGGAAGTGTTTCTTAATAGAAGATTATAACTAAAAAACCCCACAACCCTACCAAAACCACATTTATAAGTATTAAAGAAAATATTTAGAATGCATCCAGGTCTGTAATTTTGAACAAGTAAAAAGCACAGTAAGATGCAAAATGACCCATGTGGGATTTGTGACATGGCTATAAAGGGAACTGCCTTACCAACATCTCGGAGTGTTTTGAAGCGACTACACGTGTTTGTGGATAATCTCTCTGATATATTTGTACTCACATAGAATCTCTAACCAAAGGTTTTTAAGGAAACTTAGTAGTCCTGGGGAGATGGCAAAGTTCATGCATGAATAAATAAAATTTAAAACATGGGAAGCAAAAGTTAGAAGCAAACAATCACTCCTTGCAATGGAGGAAGATCACTAGGGTATATGTAGTCTGTGCTGGGGCTTGAGCTGTTCACTGAGCTCAGTAACAAAGCAGGCAAACAGCCAGGTCACTGGGGTTTTTGTTAATACTAAGTTAGTAAAGCCAAGAGCAGACTGAAGAATTGCAGAAGGACTTGAAATATAAGATAATAAAATGATAGCTGAAATTTGAAGTAGATAAAAGTAAAGCTGTACACATGAGGAAAAGGAGTCCTACATACAGAACAAGGAGCTCCACACACAGAACAAGGCGTTCTCAGCTGACCATCATTGATCATGATGTGTCCCTCAGGGGTCTGTACTGGGACCAGTACTGTTTAGCATCTGTACCAATAACATGGACAGTGGGATTGAGTGCACCCTCAGCAAGTCTGCAGATGACACCAAGCTGAGTGGTGCAGCTGACACACCGGAGGGACGGGATGCCATTCAGAGGGACCTGGACAAGCTTGAGAAGTGGGCCCATGTGAACCTCAGGAGGTTCAACAAGGCCAAGTGCAAGCCTGCACATGGGTCAGGGCAACTCCTGGTATCAATAGAGGCTGGGAGATGAAGGGATTAAGAGCAGCCCTGAGGAGAAGGACTTGGGGGTATTGATTGACGAGAAGCTCAACATGAGCCGGCAGTGTGCGCTTGCAGCCCAGAAAGCCAAGCGTATCCTGGGCTGCATCAAAAGCAGCGTGACCAGCATGTCAAGGGAGGTGACTCTGCCCCTCTACTCCGCTCTCCTGAGACTCCACCTGGAGTACTACATCCAGCTCTGGGACCCCCAACATAAGAAGGACATAGAGTTGTTGGACTGAGTCCAGAGGAGGGCCACAAAGATGATGAGAGCTAGAGCACCTCTCCTATGGAGACAGGCTGAGAAAGTTGGGGTTGTTCAGCCTGGAGAAGAGAAGGCTCTGGGGAGACCTTATTGCAGCCTTCCAGTACCTAAAGAGGGCTTATAAGAAAGATGGGGACAGACTTTTCACCAGGGCCTGTAGCGATAGGACAAGGGGTAATGGTTTTAAACTAAAAGAGGGCAGACTCAGACTAGATATAAGGAGGAGAACTTTTATTGCGAAGGTGGGGAAACACTGGAACAGGTTGCCCAGAGCGGTGGCAGATGCCCCATCCCTGGAAACATTCAAGGTCAGGCTGGACAGGGCTCTGAGGAACCTGATCTCGTTGAAGATGTCCCTGCTCAGTGCAGGTTGGGGGGGGGTTGATTCAATGACCTTTAATGGCACCTTCCAACCCAAACTATTCTGTGAATCTATAATAAGCAAATTCTTGGAGCTGATACATTTTCATGCAATTGTCTCAGATCAATACTCAACAGTGGTTAAAAAACAAATCAAAGTCAAGAAGTATTAAAAAGAAATAGAGAAGAAAACAGAGACTACCCTTATGCAAGCATATTGATTTATGATTCACCTCATTTTTAATATGTTGTTTATATTTGAAAAAAAAAATATATTTTAGAACAGAATCAGGATTGGGAAGAGCAACAAGAATAACCACAAGTACAGAACAACTTCTGTGTGAAGGTAAGTTGAGCAGGCTTTAGAAGTTTAGGCTAGAAAAGAGATAGGCTCCCTCGGAAGGGATTGTGGGCAAGAGAGATATAAAGGGTGTGAATGTAGACAATATTACAAGAGACATTCACTACTTTGATGACAGCTCTATTAAGGATTACTAAATAGATGAACCACGTCAACCCCTGACAGTTGCCTGAGCTCAAAGTAGATGGAGGGTTGGGAGACTACTCAGCTAAACATTATGCTTGCCCTGATTCTATTCTTTGTTGGGCATCCAATGATGGCCAATGTTGGTGACAGCATAGTGGATTAGAGGAACATTTGGTCCAATCCAGCACTGACATTCTTAATTTCTTAAAGACTACTAACAGACAAACAATGAGTATACACAATGCTAATCAGGTTTAACATCCTGAATGTAAATCTGTTCTGGAAATTGGAAATCACAGATTAACCTTTTGACAGCAGGAACTGAGCTTAGATGTGGATCATCCTTCAGTAGATCATGACTACTTTTACTTTTTCCCTTCATGCTCTGTTAAAAAAAAAAAAAAAAGAAAAAAGGTATTATAAAATTCAGTGTCTAAGAGAACAGGGGGTGAAAAAGGATAATGACAAGAAAAAGACAGTTTGTTTCTTGTTAGCTTTGTCCTAACCAGGAATCATAAACACTCTGAATAGCAAAAGAACAGAGTAGGTGTTTATGAAAGAAGAGCATCAAACTGACCCCATGGATTTAAAAAGTATTTTTGCAATAGCAATGCACTTAATTTTAATGGAAACAGGAAATAAAAAAAAGAAAAAAGGCTGTTTAATCATCAGAATCATTACACATCATAAAGATACATGGTCTAGCATATATAGTTGAGTGAATGAAGAGGTAAGAACTTCACTTTCCAATAATGGCATATGACAACTCAAAGAACTACCATGTACAAAGCAACTGGTGGAACACTAATTAGACCCCTAGGAAAAATTAAAAAAAAAAAAGAAATTAACAACCTGCAATACATCATTCTGCAATACATCATGCAGGAATTGTCTACTGAAGAAAGCAGTCAAATAAATGTAACAACATATAAGATCTTCAGGCAGGAAGAGTGCAGTAAGAAAGCATTCCCCATGCTAATCCAAAAAGTACACTTAAATTTCAGACTGAAATCAGACTGAAAATCTCTGTTACAGAAACAGTCTGTATTGTGACCTGAATGACTCCATTTCAGCTGCATTTTATAATCCTTTCAGGAAGACAGTAGTTGTGTGATTAATAAAATCTTACTGATTTAAACACAACTTCCATTTTTTATTATGTAGAAAAAAAGACATTCAGCAATATGAAAAATTACTTCCTTCATCAAGTAATTTGTGTGTGTGTTCAGGAGCTAGAAGAACCACAAGATGAGTGCTTATGACCTTCGTGAACTGCTCCAAACAAGTACAGACAATTAAATCGTCAGTTTGGACACAGAAAGCTTCAGTTTACACATTAATCAACAACCAGTGGGAGCCTCACTCTCAGGTCCCCAACTGCACTTATAGCCTTAGCGACCTTGAGGAGTTTTACCTGGAGCTCCTCTGCCCATGAGCACCATTTCAGGTCAGGCCTGAGAATCCACTCACTGCCTGAGCTATGTCAGAGCTGTACCTGCATCTAACCCTGTCTTCTGGATGGGCTTACTGGACTCATATTGTAGACTTGTCTCCAGCCCTGTCTCCTGTCCCATCTCTTGCTGCTCCTGATTGGACTCTCTAGATGGGGATCTTGGTCTTGGTTATTGCTTGCTGTGTCCAGGATTGTTGATGGACCCTGTTACCAGCAACCAACTCCAGCTACTGTATCCAGACTCTATGGGATTGTGCCCGTGCTGGTGAGCGCACTGCCTGCTGGAATCACTCTTGCCTCCTCGCTCACCCTCCCTCATGCAGCCATTCTGCTCTTGCGACTCCTTGACACAAACCTCCCTAATCCTGTGATTTCTGTGTTCTATAACCCCCTGGGGTACATAAGTTTTCTAAGATTCATTTTCTCTATAATATAACCATTCAGAGGCTCTCCTGATACAGAAGACACAATATGACCTGTAACATTTAAAAGACGCCAATGGCCCTAATCCCTTGTTTAATCCCTTTTTGGAAGTATTTGTGCTTCTCATTTTAATCATGTTCTGTGGCATAAATGGTCACAACTTAAATTCCAGGAGGGAAAAATAGTTTTTCTTTGTATATTTATTTGCTCATTTATCTTTGTGTCTCAATTTTCATACTGTAAGAAACAGGGAATAACCACTCCCATCTTTCCTTCCCTCTCTCTCTTTTTTTAAAGTTACCATGATCCATATCCCCAGTTATCCTTCTTGCCCTTCTTTGTACAGTCTCAGGAACATGAGTCTGGTGATGCATTGCAGCAAAGGCAAAATATATTCCCTCACTTAGACTAAGTGCAGCACAGGCTGAACAAGTCCAGAGTAGAAAATTGTTCATAATGAGGAAAATCATAGAATGGTTTGGGTTGGAAGGGACCTTAAAGATCATCTAGTTCCAACCCACCTGTTGAGGGCAGGGACACCCTCCACTAGACCACGTTGCCCAAAGCCCCATCCAACCTGGCCTTGAACACTTCCAGGGATGGGGCCTCCACAACCTATTTGGGCAACCTGTTCCAGTGCCTCACCACCCTCACAGTAAAGAATTTCTTTCTAACATGTAGTCTAAATCGACCCTCCTTCAGCTTAAACCCATTACCCCTTGTCCTGTCACTACACTCCCTCATAAACAGTCCCTCTCCATCTTTCCTGTAGGCCCCCTTCAGATACTGGTAAGCCGCAATAAGGTCTCCCCAGAGCCTTCTCTTCTCCAGGCTGAACAACCCCAACTCTCTCAGCCTGTCCTCAGAGCAGAGGTGCTCCAGTCCTCTGATCAGCTTCGTGGCCCTCCTCTGGACTCATTCCAACAGCTTCATGTCTTTCCGGTACTGGGGCCCCCAGAGCTGGACGCAGTACTCCAAGTGGGGTCTCATGAGAGCGGAGTAGAGGGACAGGATCACCTCCCTCGACCTGCTGGTCACACTTCTTTTGATGCAGCCCAGGACATGCGTTCTTAAATTCAATACTTACTTGGTTACTATGATGTGATTAAGACAAGAATTCTTATTTTTCACATGTAAGCATGAAACCATTAAATACCACAAAAATTTCATCCTGATACATGGTGTTTTCATTTACTCTTTAGATAATTTTAGCCTCAGCCTGTTCCCTTTTCCCAGATCTGTTAGAGGATTCCTCAGTTACTTGCAGATTTTCCTCTCAACTTCAGTCCTTAAAACTATACCCTTCTTACATTGAAACAAGCAAGACTTACTGCATCTAACAACCAAAAAAGTCCACAGAAGGATTCCGAAATTGTAGATGTCTAAGAATCCCATTAGTAACTTTGACCTTCAATTTTTCTTATCGAAAACAGAGAATGAAAGTTGGTGCAGAAGTTCACATACTTCACCTTAATCAAGATTATGTCCAGAACTGCAGAGATACTGATCTAGACCTATCAGAAACAAGCAATGAGGTTTGGGAAAAAAGGTTTCATTCTGTCGTAAAGAATGAACAGAAATTCTTCAGAAACAGTTGATTTGGTTATTTCCCCAGCTACAGCTAGTCCAGAATTCAGTCAGGACAAATATAAGGATAAGATTTTAAGACTGAGTTGAAGACAGCATGACAACACTGAAACTGGGCTTGTCATGAAAGAGGTCTTCTATTTAGACAATTTTAGACTGAAAAGCAAGTATTTGGTGTGAAAGGGAAGATCATCAAAACAACTGAGTTAAATGCAATATTAAAACCCAGACATATACCAAGAGCAGAACCAAAGATGTTACAGTAAACAAGTATAATTAGTCTGACTGGTAAGTTGAAACAAGAAAGAAAAATATTTAAAACTAGTGTTGTGATAAATCTCTACAATCATCCTGACTGGTACAATCTCACTGTAATACTGTCCATCATTATTCACTGTTGTCTTTTTACTAAATCTTAAGGACCATTTTTTCACTTACATGGTACAGAACTCAGAACCATGTAGCCTGATCACTAACTGAAACAGGTAGGTACCCAAACACTACAAATAATGAAGACAGCCTAGGGCTCTAGAGAAATTATTTGGTCAGCAGTAGAAATGACAATGACAACTTGTTAAAGAAATTTTTAAACTAACCTCATTTAAGTGGCAAAGTCAGATGAGGAAACGTTAGATCAAAGACTACCTATGCAACCCTAGTTCTGTGAATGTGGACAATTCATAATAGTGCAATATTTAATTATGACAATGCACTATTTTCCCCACAATAACCCCACTTCATTTTGCACACAGAATGGATATACATAAGAAAAGGGAGCTAAGAATGCACTGGCAATGAACAAGTTGATTTATTTCAAACCTCAAGTATTTTACCATCAAATCACTCTCCCATAATTAATGAGGTGAAGAAGAATAAAGTACCTATCCCCTCCATGAATTTTAAACAGTAGCATAGATCTACACTATGAAGTATGAAACTTTATGTTTATGGAAATGTAAAAATATCACGCAGTAACTGAAGGCACCTGCAAAATTAGAAAAGCTAAAAACCTCTGTTTTTTCAACATATTAAAATCGTAGAATCATAAAAACTGAAGTAATTTCTAGTATTATGTTCAAAACTCAAACATAAGACAAGATTAAGAACTTTAAAGCTTTTCACAAACATGCAAAAGAGATAACTTTAAGTTGAAAAGAAAAATGGGGATGATTTGGTACAGTACCTGACTAACTCTATTGACTTCCTCCTCTTCTTCTTCAGCTTCTTCCCCAAAGGAAAGCAGGTTAAAATTTCTTTAAGAGAGAAAATGCATTTTCTAGTAAAACTTTAAATACTGTCTTAACATTCCATGAACTTTAAAAAATTTTACTTTCATATTGTATGCAATTTTTAAAAAAACTTTTTGTCCTGCTAAATGTTCCAATTTCAAACAACTACAACATGTTGTTTTGCAATAAACCACAAATATTTAGAGAAGCATGTTCTGTTCTATTCCTAGGACAAAACAGGATAGCTAAGCATCACTTAGAAAATGGTAAGATGGAATCTAAGAAAGTCTGCCTTGACTAACTTTCACAGACTCTTAAATGCTGACAACTCTGAAAACAGAGCAGTTGCGGTTTTTTTTTTTTTCAACAGAGCAACATTCAAGTACCAAACACAAAATTTTCAACATATGACAGCTCAGAAAGGCATCAAATGCACACACATTCACAGAATGTAATTAAAAGAAATAATGATTTTTTCATTTATTCACACTATGCTGGAACCAGTCACACCATGTATTTCTGTCCAACAGAACTGACAGCATACACAAACTTTAGATTTCCTATTACTTTTCAATGCATGCTTATGACTATCAAATTTCATTCACAGAAACTGAAATTTCCCCTGTCAAAACGCTTCCCTTTTGCTAACTATTTTAGTGGGAGAGAAGTGACAGCTATTAAAATAAGTTCAGAAACCTCAAACTGAGCTATGACCTGGTTAATAGTACACATTAACTTCAGTGTCATCTCAGTCACAAGAGAATGACTGTACATTCTTGCCCATGGGAAAGGCTTAAGCTACCTTTTACCTCTCTTTTGCGCACCTCAGCTGATGCACAGTAACCACTTCAGTCAGAGCAACTGATTTGCAAGCTCTCTTCAGAAACAGGTTTTCCTTAGGTTTTCCTAAGATCAGAGAACATTCCTCCGTGCAATTTGGTAAAGCCTTGTGTTTCAAAAGCAGAAATAAAAACCTACCAAGCTGCAAATTAAAGGTGAAAGAAAATTAACCACCACTTATGTTGCATATATTTACTTTGTGCCTTTTACTTTGGACTTTTTAGTTTCTTCTTCTGGTTTTTCCTTCTTCAGCTTTCTATTCGGTCTTGGAACAATGTCATCAAAAGGATTAAACAAAACCTGTTGAAAAAGTATTATTTTAGATGTATCTTCAGTATTTTGTTATAATTAAATGATTCAGTATTTCAAAACAATATATAAAAAGACATGCCAATTTTTCATACTAGAACACAGTTTTCTGAACACTACAAACAAAAGCATTTTAAAATTTCAAAACAGAACATACTCACCTCACTACTTCTTATTTTGTGTGGACTGAGAGGTCTCTCTTCCTTGTCAACTTCTACTTCAGCCAGGCGCAACATGTTATATATTGTATCCCCTGTAACCTGTCATATTTATAAAAAAAGGTTTGAAAGCCTTTGCCTGTATTTTTTGTTAATTATTCTGCAAAATGTAAGGCAATTATTATGCAAAGAATTTTGCAAATACAAATTACATAGGAAATACTGTAAGCATGTAAGACATCTAAAAGACAGCAAGTGCAATGTACAAAGGTTTGGGTTTTTTTCTTTAAATTTTACAGCAAAAGTTGAATGAATACAGGTAGCTAAACCTGCACTTTTGAGAGCGTATGCAGAGGAAAATGTCAAACTCTTACTGTGAGCTGTGAAACAGGAAAATAAAAGACATTGTGAAATAAAAAACCCAGATAGATTATTTTCTTTCAAGTAAATCAAGTGGTAAATTCATCTTATGTTTTTCATTTTCCTGATTCTTCTCAGGTAATTAGAATTTACAAACAGAATTTTCTAAATTGTCTTCAGTATTAGAATGAACTGATTAATAAGACAGAGCCATAATAATATTAGTAAGATTATTCAAAGGGAACACAACACAAAAAATATAATTTAGAAGAATAACAGCAGCAAAGTAGATAATTATAGGAACATAGAAACATTTCTACCACATGTGGGAAACAAAGAGAACAGAGACAGATTAGAAAGCAGTGAAATAAATTTCAAATGTACATAGCAGCAAGCAACATTAAAATTGCCTTTGAATACAGAGAAAGTTATAGTAGCTTCTGCCAAACTCAAACTGGGACTCTAGTCTCTGTAGCAGACCTTTCCAAAGATTGTGTGCTTGTTATTAAGTTCATCTGCACGACCCAACGTAAAGAAAAATTGACTCCCATTATCATGGGGCCCAGCATTTGCCATAGCAACAAGTCCTCTTCGATTAAATCGCAATCGCGAATGGAACTCATCCTGGCAAAGACAGAAGAGAAAAGAACAGGATTTAAGTATGTAGCTATTTTTTCCCTTCTTTCGCTATGGCTTATCTACGTCAATATGCACACACAGAACTATGCTGTTAATTTTCTTTTAAATTCAGACAGAAATAAAACCAAAGTGTTTTGAAAGTTAAGGTCACGATTGTATTTAAAAGCTTCTGTTTTCAGCAGAAAATATTTTTAGTCAATGTTTTTTCTTCTTAGTGCCTGTAATAATGCAAACAAGTGAAAAATCTTTCAGAAGAAACCATAAGCACATAACCAACAAAGCAAAAGAAAAATGTTAGAAACTAGTATATCAATAATAGAAACATACATGATTTGCCCAAAGAGGTTGTGGCTGCCCCATCCCTGGAAGTGTTTAAGACCAGGTTGGATGGGGCTTTGGGCAACGTGGTCTAGTGGAGGGTGTCCCTGCCCGCAGCAGAGGGGTTGGAACTAGATGATCTTTAAGGTCCTTTCCAACCCAAACCATTCTATGATTCTATGATTTAATAAAAAACAAAATCTAAATTCTATCTTAACTTTCTCTTTCTCTGATCATTGTCTAATAACTGTTATTCATTACTTTTGTTGGAATTTATCATCCCACCAATATTAAACAAAATCCTAAGCATTTCTAAAAGTAACTGCATTTCATACGTTTCTTGTAAAACTTTCATTCTTGTTAACCACTCTCTTTACAGGAAAAATCCTAATTCATGTAAAATAACTGGAAGCTCAATAACAGACTGTAATAGGACAGTATCACAAAAATCCATAGGAAGAACATTTTCCGGACCATAAGACAGAGACAGAATAGGACTACTTTCAAAGCAAGGTGAAAGCAATGAGTAATTGTGCTGGGTTTTGGCCGAGATAGAATTAATTTTCTTCATAGTAGCTGGTATGAGGCTATATTTTAGATTTGTGCTGGAAACAGTGTTGATAACACCCCCACCAGCGAGTGGGCTGGGGGTGCACAAGGAGTTGGGAGGGGACACAGCCAGGACAGCTGACCCCAACTGACCAAAGGGATATTCCATACCATATGACGTCATGCTCAGCCTATAAAGCAGGGGGAAGGAGGAGGAAAGAGGAGATGTTCAGAGTGATGGCATTTGCCTTCCCAAGTCACTGCTATGCGTGATGGAGCCCTGTTTTCCTGGGGATGGCTGAACCCCTGCCTGCTCAGGGGAAGTTGTGAATGAATTCTTTATTTTGCTTTGCTTTCACATTCAGCTTTTGCTTTACCTATTAAACCATCTTTATTTCAACCCACGAGTTTTCTCATTTTCACTCTTCTGATTCTTTCCCCATTCATGCCGGGGGTGTGTGTATGAGTGGGTGGGTGGTGAGTGAGCACCTGCGTGGGGCTTAGCTGCCGGCCAGGGTTAAACCATGACAGTAATATATTAACACCATGGTAGTATCACAATTCTAAACACTGCAATACTGAGATAGCACTAATTTTAAGCACCGATGCTACCACAATATTGGTAATTTTTGTTTTGTTCTCTGCTCAGGTGCCAATCCTTTCCACAAAATTCATGTTTGTGTTATACATATGAGTCTACTCTAGCAGCAGGGAGATGGAAGGCCCAGGAACAGGCTATGCAGCTTTAGTCACAAGTTACAGTTGCCTGCCCCATCTGAAATAAAAAAAGCAGGCAGAACAGAACAGAACACAGCTGCTGTGTGTGTGTAGCTTCACTCAGGATCTGAGCTTCCTGGTTAAGAGATGAGCCATGCTGGTATCAATAATACCAATGAACACATATACAACATTCAGAGACCTTTGCTAAATGAGATACAACCTGCGTAAACAACGTACATTTCTGCACCTGAGTTTGCCACATACCAACACCTACTCTTCACTCTGCCACCTACCTATTTTTCCTTGTGAAGTTCATGGTAGTGAGGTTATACATTTATCATAATATCAGAACAGCTAGATTTAAAAACTCTCAATTCAAAAAGGCGTATTCAAAAATACTGATGCAAGTACTCTACATGTATAATGTTGCATTTCTAATATAAGGCTTGCTTTCTCACAACCTAACATGTTAGGAAGAATAACTGATAGAGAGTAACCAAAAATTAATGCATAAGATATACAGATACGTACCTTGAAGGGAGCTCCATAGATTGAATCTCCACCTGATCCAGTACCAGTGGGATCACCTCCCTGCACTATAAAGCCAGGCACTACTCTGTGAAATATTGTGTTATTGTAATACTCTAAAGAAAAAAAAAAGAAAAAGAAGAGTGTATTAAATACATGTGAGTGGTCTCAAAACCAAACTTTCATATAGATTATGCAGAGATTTCCAGAGACTGAAGTTCCAGAAAGCAAGTATTGTAACTAGATTCTGCTATTTCTATTGGGTTCTCTCCCATTCTACTGTCTTGGTCAGTGTGACTGTATCTCAGCTACAAAGTATTGCTGATGACATTTAGGGAAAAAAAAACCAACCAAAATGTGGTGTCATGTGTTTCTGTTGCAAAAGACACTGCACATGACTGACAAGATGATATTGATGAATCATTTTCTTTTCAGCTTTTAAGTTTTATCACTGGAATGATACTACCAACATACATCAATTTAAAGAGAGATAAAATTATTATGCTGTGTCCCAGCCAACACCTCACACACATCGTTAGCCATATCCATACACTAAATGATTAGCATTTTCACTCACCAGCATGAAACACAGCTGTCACCCCTTTCACTACCTACACTGTACCCAAACTGATCATTTTCACAGAATGAAGTATGTGGTACATTTTGGTCCTTAAGTTACATTCTTTTATCTTTTATCTATCTATCAGATAAAAGTTATGGAATCATAAACAAAAGGAATGAAAACTTAACTTTACTTGACAGATATTTATGGTTGTTAGGGGGTTTTTTGTTTTGTTTTGGGATTTTTGTTTTTAATAAATAAATCTGCAGCATGCTGCAAGACAAAGCAGGATCTGCAAATGTTGCAGACTAGCTAGATATATTCATGGATGGTTATATGCTAGGACGCTCACAAGAGAAATACTCATATTTATTATACAAAGCACAGGATCCTACACAGCAGTCAAACAAATTCAGAAAGGAAATACAGTTCTTTAACACAGAGCATAACTGAACTCTTAGGACTTACCAAGGGCTAAGAAATTGATTTACATTGCAAAAAATATCCACTTTTCCACATTAAGTGTAAGAACACAGAACAAGCTGGATCTGTGCTGGAGGCACAAAGCCTAGACTGGTATTTTTCCTTAACAGAGGAGGGCTAAAAGAACTCTTAACCACTCTATAAACACATAAATGGGATGATAGCAGCAGCTAGAAAACACATAAAGGCACCAGCTCCTTCACAAATTCTTGTCACAGTTTTCCCAATAGGGAGCACCTCATTCTGGTACCTACGACTTCAGTGAAGAGCGTTACAGAGCTTCCACCAACAAATGAAGCATTAGAAGCACTCATGAAAAAATTGAAAAGGTAGTAAAGATGGTGATACAGAAATCAGAATTTTGGAGGATGTCCAATATTGTATCATTGTCATTTCATACATACATTAGTCACACCTTGTAGAGACTTGCTGAAAATAAGCCTTCCCAAGCATCTGACACACAACTTTTCAGTAACACTATGTCATCTGCTACATTTTAGAAAACCATCTAATATTTTAAACCGTCTAATCTAATATATTGTGGGTGTTGGTCTCTTCTCCCAAGTAACTAGCTAAAGGACAAGAGGAAATGGTCTCAAGTTGCATCAAGGGAGGTTTAGATTAGCTATTGGGAAAAACTTCTTCACCAAAAGAGTGCTCAGGCATTAGAACAGGCTGCCCAGAGAGATGGTGGAGTCACCATCCTTGGAGCTGTTCAAAAAATGTGTAGATGTGGCACTTCAGGACATGGTTTAGTAGACATGGTGGTGTTGGATTGACGGTTGGACTTGATGAGCTTAGAGGTCTTTTCCAAGTTCAAGATTCTATGATTTTTACTTTTTTTCCACCTGGTTCCTTAATAATATTTAAAAACACTGAGTGTTAGTTAATATTTTCTAAATACAAATAAATTAATTAACATATTAAAGTTAAAACATAAGTTATGTCCTCTATTTTACAGAAAAGGCACAAAGATTGCTGTCCTGGTTTCAGCAGGGATAGAGTTAATTTTCTTGCAGATGGCGTAGTGCTGTGTTTTGGATTTAGGATGAGAATAATGTTGATAACACACTTATGTTTTTAGTTGTTGCCAAGCAGTCAAGGACTTTTCAGCTTCTCATACTCCCCTGCTAATGAGAAGGCGGAGGCACCCAAGAAGGTGGGAGGGGACACAGCCAGGACAGCTGACCCAAACTGGCCAAAGAGATATTCCATACCATATGACGTCATGTCCCATTTGCAGCTGGGGGTGGGCTGAGAGGCATGGCAGCTGGGGGTCTTGCACAGCATCAACTTCAGAATGATGGTGTTTATCTTCCCAAGTAACTGTTACATGATGGAGCCTGGCTTTCCTGGAGATGACTGAATACCTGCCTGCTGTTGGGAAGTGGTAAAGAATTCCTTGTCTTGTTCTGCTTGTGCACGTGGGCTGGGAGGCTGGGCAGCTGGGGGTTGTGCATAGTATCGACTTTGGGTGATAAGAAATTGTGCTGTTCATCACTTGTTTTGTATATATTATTATTATTTTCCTTTTTGTGTTTTTCCTATTAAAGTGTTTTTATCTCAACCCATGAGTTTTCTCACTTTTCACTCTTCCAATTCTCTCCGCCATCCTGCTGGGGAGAGGGAGTGAGGGAGCAGCTGCATGGTGCTTAGTTGCCAGCCAGGGCTAAACCATGACAGTCCTTTTTGGCACCCAACGTGGAGCTCAAAGGGTTGAGATAACGACAGATCTGACCAGAGCACATTAAATCAGTTGCAAGTGTACATTATATTAGATTAATAATTGCTGGACACAATGTTTTATTAGTTGTTCACATGGTTGTGTTTTGTGAGTTCTTACTGGTATTATGTATTTGCTACGGTGCTGTTTATCTTTTCTGGGAGCTTGATGAGGACGTTCCTTTTGCTGCATGGTGTACTACTCGCTTATGATAAGATAGCATTATTGGCCATGAGAATATTTTGGTTTGTGTATTCAGCATTGCTGTCTCTTCCGTACCTCAGGTGCTATCTCCTGGGAAGTATTGGGAATTACCTTCTCTACTTTTTTCTGTGTAGAAGCAATCTATGGGGGACACAGAAGGGAACACCTTCACTGCCCCTTTTCCTTTTGGCTAGTTACAACAGCTCTTAGAACAGTTCATGAGAATTTTGAATATCCTTTGGACCTTCAGACCAGCATGTTTCTATTGCTAGGTCTCCTGAATGTGGTTCAGGTCCTGCTTAAGGTTAAACAACTACTTAAGAGAGGAAGTAGAAAGGTTAAGGAGCATCAGGGAGGCTGAGAGAGATATACTGGTGGAGCAAAGCTCTGCCCTTCCTGAGACAGAAACAGGGACAGATACCAGGCAAAACCCAAGATGAAGGGGACTCTGTATCCTCCCCCTGCCAGGCAGAAGGCAGTAGCTTAAAAGGAAGGAGTGAATGAAGGCAGGTCCACACTTGGGATCGCAGGCAAACCTCTTCCTTGCCCACCTCACCTTCCCAAGTGCCTCTGTACAACCGGTATGAGGCTCTGGCTTTAGCAGGCCTGACAAAGGAGGACATGGAAGACACTCAAGCCACACCAGAAGTATCACCAACACCAAAAAGGCTCACACCCTGTATTGTGACCACCTCCATGATGGAGAAAAGGCAGGTTATAGTTGTAGGGGACTCCCTCCTGAGGAGTACAGAGGGTCCAATACGGAGAGCAGACACTCCTCTTAGAAAAGACTGCTGCCTCCCTGGGGCCCGTGTTAAAGCCATTATGAGGAAACTCCCCAGCCTGGTACAGCCCTCTGACTACTACTCACAACTGCTCCTCCATGTGGGTGGGGACAAAGCTGAGACACCTAATGCAAAAGCAATCAAAAGGGACTTCACGGTCTTGGGACAGTTACTGAAGGAATCTGGAGTGCAGGTTATTTTTTCCTCCCTCCTTCCAGTTGAGGGCAGCGACAGTGGGAGGAACAGATGGACACAGTCCATAAACACATAGCTCTGTGGCTGGTGGTCCCACCGCCACAGTTTTGGGGTTTTTGACAATGGGATGGCCTACATGGCACCAGGCTTGATGAATTCAGATGGGATTCACCTCTCTCAAAGGGGAAAAAGGGTCTTTGCCCAGGAGCTAGCGGAGCTCATTGACAGAGCTTTAAACTAGGCTTGAAGGGGGAGGTGGATAATATCAGGCTTGCCTGCAATAAGTTGTGGGATGACATGCCAAGGTTGGAGGGACAGGGTGCCAATGAGGGCCCTCAGCCTGCTGCTCAGAGACGTGCTGGATACACTGCAGAAGTCTAGAGGAGATGAACCAGGGGCTCCTGAGGCAACGGGAACCAACAGGGAAACACTGGTAAAACACTTCAAAGGAATTCCAGCCACTCCAGCCAGTAAGTCAGTCTCATCGGAGGCACAACTGAAATGCCTCTATGCAAACACAGGTAGCATGGGGAATAAACAAGAGGAGTTAAGAGATGTGTGCATGTCTGCAGGGCTATGATCTTACTTGCATCACGGAAACGTGGTGGGATGTCTCCTGTGACTGGAGCATTGGAATGGAAGGACACAGACTCTTTAGGAAGGACAGGCAGGGCAGACGAGGAGAGGATGTCACCCTCTATGTCAATCACCAGCTGGAGTGCATGGAGCTCCACCTGGGGATGGATGAGGTGAAGACTGAGAGCCTATGGGTCAGGATTAAAGGGAGCACAGGGACGTGGGACATCATAGCGAGAGTCTACTACAGGCCACCTGACCAGGGAGACTGAGCGCATGTGGCCCTCTATAGACAGACAGGAGCAGCCTCACATTCACAAGCCCTGGTCCTCATGGGGGACTTCAACCACCTCGACATCTGTTGGAAAGGGAACACAGCACAGCACAAGCAATCCAGGATGTTCCTGGAATGCGTTGATGGTGACTTCCTCCTCCAAGTGACAGAGGAGCCA